GCATACCACTAAAATGGTGTATGCAGTTTAAATTTTATAAACAACGTCAAACACCCTCTGAAAAGCTGTGCACCCAGTTATATAACCAACAAGAGGACACTGGGAAGACCTGCTTACTGCCAGTGCTAGCAACACCAGGCATCATCAATTTTTTTACCATCTGATACATAAGAGTGCTGTATTTTGTTAAAAATTGAGTTTTTAAATTATAAGGGATTTTAAAAATGCTTAGTGGTCATTTTATATCTGATTGTTGGAACTGCCTAGTCAGAGCCTTCCCCCCAATTCGGGGTGATTTATGATTAACCCATCTCTTACGAGTCTTTGAAAAGCAGAGCAGGGGGCTCTGTGAGCTGGAACCTGCAGAGATGGGCATTTCTGCTGCTCCCTAGGGGAGGGCCGATGGTTCTCTAATCCCATGTCTGAGAGAGAAAAAATCCACTCTGGTGAAGCCACAAGAGCCTCAAGGAAGGACACAGGACTCAGGAACAAGAGTGGCATCTCCTTTGCCCCACTTTCCCAGTCCACACGCCCGGCCCCTATACCCCCATCCTTGAAACTCCATCCTTCTCAGCACGTTTCACTTTTACAATCAGCTTCCAAAAACGTCCACTTTAGGAGATATATTCTTGATTCCATGGAGGAAAGGAAACTGAATCAATGAGCGCCATCTGTGTGCCTTCAAACAATGTTCACACACACACACACCCTCCAGTAACCCCATTAGGTAGGTATCATGCTCACTTTACAGGTGGAAAAAACCCATAGCCCAGAGATGCTAAGCGACTCTCTTAAAGCCACATGGCAAGTAAATAGCTCAGCTGGGGTTTGAACCCAGGTCTCTAGGACTACAAAGCCCACGTGGTCTACCATGCAAACTACGAAGCGGGCCAAGCATCAGTAGTCTCCAGCTGTATGCACTCCTTCCCTCCCGCAGCAGGTGGGCCAGGGTGTGTAACGACCAGGTGACCAGTGGAAAGGAAGGAGCACTGGCTCGGAGCCCGGCAGCTGGCTCGCCAAGCGCACGATTCACTTGGGGCTCGGCCGAGGCGGGGCCCC